TAATATTGTCATGATGGAAGTTGCCGCTTCGCGAACAGCTTTCCACTTCTCAGAGGACTGACACATAAGTGCAGTCAAACTTTCCACCGTTAAACTACCACCTAGTGCTGTTTCTAACTTTTCCCTTATGTCTAGAAACCGAGGACATTGGAAGAACACGTGCTCAGAGTCTTCTATTGACTCCGTACACATCTGGCAATACGGACTGACGTCGTTTTGAAATTTGTAGAGATAGCCTCTGAAGCACCCATGCCCGCTTAATATTTGGGTCAGGTGGAAGTCTAGGTCCCCATGTTGTCTGCTTATCCATATATGGATGTCAGGTATAAGTCTGTGGGTCCACCGTCCTTTAGTTGAGGTTTGCCACCGTTGCTGCCACATAGTTATGCTCTTCTTTCTCTCTTCTCTTTTTTGCATTTCCGTAATTGGCGCTGTTAGCTCATATAGTCTCGTGAACTCATCACCCTGGATGTCTATGGGCGGCATACCAGCTAGTACTTCAGATGCTTCCCTAGAAATAGTTCGGAAAGCACTTGTTACTTTTATTGCTGTGAGTCTATGCACCGCATTTATTGGTTTGGCATACGCTTTTATGTTTAGTGCCTGTATCCATACTGGAGCTGCATATACTGTAAATAAATCTTATAAATCTTATTTGCTATGTTTGCCAAGTGCTGCTTGAATTTCAGTTTGGAGTCCAATATTACCCCTAAATACTTCAACTGTGGTTGTGAAGTAATCATACACTCTCCAATAGTGAGAGTTATTTTTTCCTCAATTTTCCTGGTGCTTATAAGCAGTACCTCTGTTTTTTGCTCATCCAGTTCCAAACTCTTGGAAGAGAACCATTGCCGTAGACCATTTGTGCATTCATTACATTTATTTTGTAGGTCTTCAAGTTGTTTACCTACTGCTACCACTATAAGGTCGTCCGCGTATGCGATTAGCTTAACGTTTTTAGGCTGTGGAATTCTTAGCACCCCGTCATAGACTAGATTCCATAAGAGAGGGCCTAAAACAGATCCTTGTGGTACTCCACTTGTAATAGGGTAGCTCTTGGTGCCTTCGGTGGTGTCGTAGATCAGCTTTCTATTTTTAAAATAACTCATAACGATATTTATGAGGTACTGAGGGGCGCGTATTCCATATAGGGCTTCGAATATATTTTTCCACTTAGCAGAGTTGGAAGTATTCTTCACATCCAGGGTGATCAGCGCACAATATTTTTTTGTACCACCTTTCCATCTTTTGCCACTTACTGCTCTTTTCGCAGTGTCGACAACTTCTTTCAGTGCATCGATAGTAGACCTCTTTTTTCTGAAGCCGTATTGTCTTTCTGATAGTCCGCCGGCCTCCCGGATTGCAATTTCCAAGCGGTTTCTTATTATGCTTTCGTACACCTTTCCCCATTGTGTCGAGCATACACAGAGGTCGATACGAAGAAGGTTCACCTGGTGTTTTTTTTGGTTTTGGGATTAAAACCAGACGCTGGACTTTCCAGGGATCGGGGAAYATCCCTTCTTTTATGCATGCATTGTACATTTTTGCGAAAAGAGTGGGTTTCGAGATTATGGCTACCTTTAGAGCTCTGTTTGGTATGCCATTGACACCAGGCGCTTTGTTGTTTTTGATTCTTTTAGCTATGGCCAATAGTTCTTCTTCCGTAACCAGTGCGGGTGATTCAGCAGCTTCGTTTCGTCGCACAGCGCTAGTAATCGGGGCGTGCGTCGGAAATAATGCCTCGATGACTTTCTTCATAAACGGAGCGCATTTGGGTTGCTGCCGTTTATTTTGAAATTTGGACATACAAATTTTATAAGCAGTCCCCCAGGGGTCTATTTTCACTTCTTTACAGATCTTTTCAAAACTCTTTCTCTTGCTACGGATTATAGCTGACTTTAGAATTTTCTTGTGGTTTCTAGAAGCTTCTTTGAGACGGTTTTCGTTTTCGCCACTTAGATTGCGTTRTAGKCGACGTCGGGCTGAGTGACAGAGCTTTCTCAGCGTGGCAATTTCTTCATTCCACTAGTATACAGGTCTTCGCTTATTGTGACATTTCGTCCTTCGCATTGTAGCGTCGCATGCTGCTACACGTTCCTTTTGCAATGCGGTTACTAAGTGGACGCTGCCTTCGCCTGGTGCTATTGCTGCGCTCCAGACT